AGTCCAGACATCTTAAAGTTCCCAAGGTTGAGAAACTATGCACTATCTCATTCTCCATTCTCATGAGACCACAACTCCCAGAAGCCAATGCGCTTCCCATTCCTCTTCTTGAACCCGCCCCGACCCTCGTCCTTGATTGGTCACAGGTCTTCCGGCGGCTCTTGATCGCCCCCTCCCTCCTAGAAAACCGAGAGGGCGCGCTCATTGGCCGCGCGAGGGACGAGGCGGGTGGTTGTCACGCGGCGCTGATTGGACGCGCAAGGCGCCCCGCCGCGCCTACGGTGGCCGCGCGGTGCCTCCCGCAGCCGATTCGAGCGAGCGCGGCGGCAGGAGAGAAGATGGCGTCTGAGGGACACTCCGAGTCCCCCAAGGCGGGGGAACTGCCGTTGCCAGGATACGGGGCCTGGTCGCCCAACGAGCTGCAGGCCAAGCTGGCCGAGATCGGGGCGCCGACTCAGGGTGAGGGGGGCCGCGGCGGTCTGGGGTACAGAATTCGTAGGCCCGGAGGCCTGCCTCAGCTGCAAACCCCGAGGCCAGCCTGGTGCGGGGCTCGGTCGCTCGTAGTTCAGCGTGTCGTGTGAACGGGAAGCCAAACACGGATAGGGCATCCAAGCTGGGCTGCGGCAATCGGGGCGGCCACTAGGTGGTAGCAGAGAGACAGCGGACGCGCGGGCTCTTTCCTGGCGTCCCGGAGTGCTGCAGCCCAGAAAGCGGGTCCCTGGCGGGGGCATCGCCTCTCCTCCGCGGCGGTTGGTTATCCCGGGTTTGGCTGCTGTGGAAACCCCACTTCCACAAAGACGCTCCGTGACAAAACCCAGCCTGCTCCCCAGATGCCCCATCGCTTTCCCCCAAGCATTCAGCAAAGCGTCCATAGATACCTCGTGGAAAGAATTGGGGGGACGCCCGAGGCCAGCTAGTCCACCCCCGTACTCAGTGCAAGAACTCAGATTAAAGCATTGTTACTATTATTAATTATTGTTATTATACTGTGCCTTCGATTCGTTGTTGACTCCTGGCGACTGCCTGGACTAGTCCTTGCTGTTTTCTTGGCAAGATTTTGGAAGTAGTTTGCCCTGGCCTCCTTCCTAGACCAAACTCTGGTCTTTCCTACACCAAACTGGCCCTCCTGTTTATAATAATAATATTATTATACTTATTAGATGTTTATGCTTTTTAATATATAAGTCAAGGTGTTGAACATACCTCATACTCCTTCCTCCTCCTATTTTTCCCACCACAATAACCCTGTGAGGTGGGCTGGGCTGAGAGAGGGGGACTGGCCCAAAGTCACCCAGCTGGCTTCATGCCTAAGCATCTCTGGCAGATGGCTGCCACACATCCAGGGCAAGGGAGCCCACCGTCTCTCTTGGTCACGCTGAACTGCTGTAACATTTTTTTCCCTGGTATTCCATTGGGATCTGCCTTTTTGTAATTAAAGTATATTTATTTATTTAATGTGTATTTATTTATTCTGTTTGCAAACCACCAGATCTATAAACATTCGTGGTGATTTGATGAAACAGAAAGCCAATGAAAGGATACTTAAAATCAAGATTGTAAACGGTACAGAATGGCCATAATAACACAATGACTATCCGAGACAGAAATGGAACACAGCTGTCAGCTCTTTGAGGGAGACCAGGTCAAAAAAGAGACACTGCAGGGATTCCAGGAATGATACTTTATTGTTGTAGGGTATGATAACAGAAATTTGAAAGCCTGTCCAAGTTTCTCTGTCCCCTTTTACACTAAACAAAACCAAGGTGGGTTATTTTGAATTTCTTCCTTCAGTCTCAACTGTGGAGTCCAGTGTTTCTCAACCTTGGCAACTTGAAGCATGCTGACTGGGGAATTCTGGGGGTTGAAGTCCACACATCTTCAAGTTGCCAAGGTTGAGAAACATTGGTGTCGTCTCTTCCTCTGAGTCCCTCCTTAATGGATCTTTCATACCCTCCCCAAGGTCAGCTCTAATTTTTTTTTATAACAACGGTGAAATTGACATTAAAAAAACAATGGCAAATACAGGGCACAGTGAATCTTATTATTCCACCTCCTCTGCTCTGGGAATTGAGAGTGCAGATCTTGAATTTTGTGTGAATTTGGGGTGTCTGGGTTGTGGAAAAGGGTAAGCCCTTTGGGACCATTTTCACAGATCTCACCTTATCCCAGTCCTTCCCTACAGGAGAGTTGCAGCCCACCTGGCACCTCATTATCTCCAGTTTCTCTCTTAGATCTATATTGTTTGAAAAGATGACCTCCTCCAGGCCATCCTGTCCCACAGTAGGGATTCCCCCAGTTCTTCAGAGCTTTACTCTCTCAACTGCCTCTCTCCTGCTTACCAGATGCTTGCTAGTTTGGGAGCTCTTCCAGTTTTCATCCAGCAGGTTGGCTGGGTTCACACAACCCTAGGCTAGGGTAAAATGGGTTTGGGTAAGTTGTGGTTGAGCATGAGGTGGGGAAACCCAGACAAGATCAAGCTGTTAGGGGTTCCAGGGACTGGCTTTAAGAATTTGGGAGAAATTCCCATCCTCCTCAAGATTCTGGAGCCTGATATTGGACAGACAAGTAAAATCAAAGGCAAGGAGGGCCTTTTTTAAAAAATCAGGTCTGTCGCTACCTGGGGGAGAGAGTTCTGGCTTTGGTGACCTCAAGGCTAGATTACTGCAGGGTGCCCTTTGAGGGACGCCCTTGAAGACAGTCTGGAAATTGCAGCAGGCCCAGAATGTGGCCACAGAAGTGATGGGTGGGGCCTCTTTGGATTCTCACAATGCTTCCAATTGCCTACTGAGCACAATCATTGGTGCTTACCATGGCTGATGGAGCCCTACATCACTTAGACCCAAGTTTTGACACACTGAGAGCTCCTCTTCAGTCCATCCTACGCTCATAAGTCATCAGTGGGACATCTTTTACCAGTTTGATTAGGAAGTGTTTAGCATCCGCATGTAACTGAATTTTATCTGGGGTGAGGGGCCAAATTCCAATTGTGAAATAAATTGTCACAAGAGTTGAAGCGTGTCCCCACCTTACTGTCAACTAGAAGGAAACTCAACATATTTATTTTCCCAGGCCTTTTATATATCCCTGCTTTATCTATTGTGCTTTACATCCATTCTTTTCCAGTAGACATTAGATATATTTTTACTGTATCTTTTAAGCCGCCTAAACCTATTAAAGAAACAGGCAGCATATGGATTCTATAAGTAATAGGTGATCTTAATATATTCTGTGAGCCAGATTATCACATTTAGGGAGAATATATTTGCTTGGAGAGATCATATTATATGAACACAGCCATTCTGTTGTATTAACTTTAGGGCATAGCTTGTCATGGGAATCCAGCCTTCTTGTTGAGAGCAATACAGGCGTTGGAGATGTTGGAGGTGGAAGGATGAAAATGGTCTGAGGGATGGAAGTGTTTAGGGGGACAGTGAGAAAGGAAATGTCTATATAGCTTTCTCTTTATGAACGTCGGATGGAATTTTTTCTTTCTGCTTTTGGTATTCTTCCCTCCCTCCTTCTTACTGTACATTATTTTAAAATACCAGCTTTAACATATTGTTTTATGACTGTTCTTTTCATATTATATAAAGCCCTTTGTTTTTTCAACTTGCCAGTCTAGCCCTGGGATTTTCTGGTGGTGTCCTGTCCTGGTACAAACCAGGTCCCAGCCCTCAGATCACCCTGGCTGGGTTCATACTCTGTATGACCCACAAATAAACAACCTACATTTTTAAATAATACACTATGTCTATGAGGTATGGTCTCCTAGGAAGTTGCTATATGCTGTGTGAAACATTGACCCACTTAGCTTATCATGCTGAGCCCTTATGCGTTTGTTTGGTTTTTCTGCAGCAGATTTTTTCGTGGAGAATATCAGAGTTTTTCTCCAATCTGTATGGAGAATGGCATGTTGGAGGAAGCTGCTTTAAACTCCCTTCTTGATCTACAGCATAATCTCTGAATTACTTTACTATTTTAATTCCTTTCCAGGTGGCCGTGAAGAACTGGTGGAACGGCTGCAGACGTATACTCTTCAGGTGAAGCCTTTATTTTTTGGATCAGAAAAAAGCGATAGTTTTTTTTTTTACAGTAATTGGCTCACATGTGGAGCTCAAAGAAAGGAAGGTCAGATCACCAGGGAATCTGAGCTATACGCAGATGGATTCTGTAAACCAGGATTATTTTAGTGCAATCCACCCACTTCAGAAAGAAACAGGATTTCAGGTGCAGAGAAAGTAACCTTTAAGTAAAGGAAAATCTAGAAAAGCTTAG